TTAAATATGAACAGTGGAATATAAAACCTAAAACTCAATTATGAAAGAAAAATTTGCTGCTAATATGTCAGGCCAAATGTAAGGTATTTTATTTACTTTGAAGACAATTTCTTACTTTATTATTTGATAACTTTGTTCACTCATGAATAAAATTCACTTGTGTGTTACATATCTATATACTACCTACTGAAAGTGGTATTAGAAGAAAGGTGATCATCCTTCCTACCAGTTGGTTCCTATAATTTATACAGAAAGTGTGTTATACCTACATTTACAAGACTGGTGAAAGTCATTCAAATTTGTACAATGTACTTATTTCATCAGAGAGTGCAAGTTTTTTTATAGGAGCAGTTCAAGGACTTTATTTGATTGGGCTTATGATGCACATCTTGATAAGTTTGTACTTAGAAATACACAGATAAACAGACTTTGCTGTCTGAAGATATGTATCAGTCGAGCCAAATCCCTGTGATTTTGTATTTGTGTGTTGTAAGAGTGACAGCCCTACTGCTTAATCAACGCTAGGAACACATGTTCTAACAGGTGGATGATTTAGGTAGACTCCAATAGATGAATTTCTTAATCTGCTGAGATTGGAGGCATTATAATAGTCCATTGCTTAGGGACTGTGTTGGTAATAATTCCTAGATACTCCATAGTAACTTTAAGATGTCATCCTTAAGTATTTAAGATATTATTTCTTAAAACGTAATACCAACTTTGTTTTTGGACAGAGAAGTAAATAGGGTGGTAAAAAATACATGGACATTTTGGTTAGAAATTTATGCATTAGTGAGGTTCTGTTTTTTTTTCTCATCATGTATACACTAAATTTAATAGCCTGTGCCATGCTGTAGACGTAGTGTGAAGTGCCCCTTAATCAAACCGAGTCTTAGAAGCAGGAGAAAAGCGTTAAACCTAAATATAGCCTTGACATTGATTATAATACTTTCTTGTGTACTAATCTTTCATCTTTGCTATTATTTTATTTGTAGAGCTGAAGAATAAAATAAGTGTGAGAAAATGTGTTCCATAAAAATCCAAACTCTCTAAATGACATTTCAAAGCCATGTAGTCCATTTTAATGAACAATTTCATAGATCATTTTTAATTTTTAAAGGTATGCTCACACATGGGGCATTTACTTTTCAGAAGCTTCCTGAGTGTTCATAAGCAAAATTGACTACATGATTTATAAATTTCAGCTCATTATGAAAACAGTCATATTTTCATCTGAGGTTTTATAACTTTATTTATAGAAGTGGTTATTTCTGTGTCCAGTCTAATGTACCAAAATGAATTTTATTGTACTCGTTGCTCCTGTTCTCTCCCATTTTTGCCCTGTAGCATTGGTTGACATTTCATAGAGGGTGAGTTGGCATAGGGCTGGAAAATATGTAATTATAAGAATCACCTGCTCTTGAATTTCTCATTATATAGTATCCATAATTCAAGCAGACTTTTCATAGGTGCTTGATTTGGAATGAGAAGTTTTCTTCTTTCATGACCAGTGATTAAAATGTGGCATTTTGGTAAATAAAGAGAAGATAGTTTCTGCATAATCCAGCTGTGAGTTAGAGCTGGTGAAATAATGCAAATCTTTGACCTGTATCATATGAGCAGTAGCATATGTAATTGGAAATATATTTTAAGAAGAAGAGCATTAAGCCTTTTTTGAATGCTCTGTTGCTTAATGCAGGCTAAGTGCTAAAATGCAGCAAGATGCATATTTTGCTTCACTTACTGCTTCTCAAAGGAATTCCAATAAAGGGAATCCACAACTACATGTGAATATTTTCTTTTTTTAATGAGTTATAACCATGAATGTAAATATTTATCAATTGCTGTAGCATGGTAGTAAAGGCTGGGAATAGACTATATTTCTTCATAATTGAAAATGAAACTTACTGTTAAAATAGTATTTGTATAATAGCCTTACCTGTTGCATTAAGCTTTATAAATCTTTATGGTTAAAGTTGCAATTTTCAATAAATTGACTGCGAAATTATGCACCCAGTTCCTGATTATAATTTGTGTTCTTTCCTGGATACTGAAGTAACTGGTATATTTCCCCATACATAGTTTAGTTTATGTGTTTAAGTCTATCTGTAAAGATATTATGTATGCATAAGCACATTATTTCTCTGCCCTATAAATATAAATTATATTATTCCAAAGTCATGCATGCCCTTGTTTTATAGTATAATGGCATTTTACAACTTTTTACTTGTCACTTAGTAGATCAAAACACATTAGCTTCTGTCTTATTCATTCAGGCTACTATAACAGAAATACCATGGACTGAGTGGCTTAAATAATAGAAATGTATTTTTCACCATTCTGGAGTCTGGGAAGTCCCAGATCAAGGTCCCCAAGTTGCTGACCAATTTGATTCCGTACGAGGGCCCTCTTCCTGTTTGCAGATCGACATCTTGCTGTATCCTCACACAGCAGAGAGACAAGATACAGTTCTCAAATCTCTTCTTATAAAGACATTAATCTCATCATGAGGGCCCTACCCTGGAGACCTAATTATCAGGCGTCATCTCCAAATACCATTGCATTGGGGATTAGGATTTGGACATATGAATTTTGGGGTGGACACAAACATTCAATCTGTAGCAGCTTCCTACAAGGGCTTTATAATTTGGATATCTATCCTATTAATTGAATTGGTATTAGAATGTTAAACTAGAGCAAAATGTCATCTTTTAATTTTGAAATGTCCTATGTGAATAAAGTGAAGGCATTAAAATGTATTAGATAAACATATCAATTCGAAACTATTTTGGATTTTAAAACATCAATATTCTTCAAAGTGGGTGATTTTGTATTATATGTTTACTAGGAAGATAGAAGCACTGATTTTGAGTTCTTTTAATACCTTTACATTTACTCTACTAGTTCATTATATGTATATAAGTACATTGTATCTGTATATACACATTGACAGTATTCTGTGCTCAGAGCTTTTATTTCCTTTCCCTGCGTAGTGTCTCTTTCATGCCCTCTAATTTAGTTTTATTCATCACTACTCTTCTAAGGTTACATTCTACATGCTCAACAGTGACCTCGCAACCTCACTGTAAGTCTTCTCTTGAAATATTTGTTATAGTAGACCTCTAACACTCTTGAAATACAAGGCTTAGCATGTAATAGACACTCAGTAAGTATTGGTAAACATATAAATGGAGAAAAAATAACTTCTCCCAGTTTTCTCTCTATGGTGTTGTACTTGCCAGATTTTATTCACACCTTCAACCCTTCTCCTCCCTCTATGTGCAGCCCCCAGGTTTCAGTCCTCAGTTACTTAGTCTTCTCTCTCCATGCACTTTCACTTAGAGAAACCTTGACTATTGTCTCTGCACGTATAACTCCATGCTTTTTCTCCAGACCAGCTTTCTCATGAGCTTCAGTTACTTGTGTCTACAACTGTCCTCTGGACATTTCCATTTGGATGTCCTGCCATCTTTTAAAAAATTACTGGTTAGAATGCATGATGTTTATCTCCAATGGTATTATCCTTCTGTGTTTCCTAATTTCTGTCACAGTACTGAAACTCTTATATTAATCTGGTTATTATTTAACAGGAAAGGAGTAAAGGGAAGACTAGATGATATAGGCATGCCATTTATACAGCTCTGCCAAAAAACTGCATTTAACACTCTCCAAGGCCGCTCGCCGCTGATCAGTGGGGAAGGGATGGGACAAAGGCAGTTTGGACACATGCCCAATAAGGTCTGAGTGATGTGGGAAGGTGCTTACCTGTCTGTCAATCACACCTGGGAACAGGTAATCGGCCAGAATAGGTGTGGCCACTGCAAAGGCACAAAACCTGAATATTTCAACTTCTGAACAAAGGAAGTTTCTGTCTCTTGGCCTTTGGCCCTATGGCCCTTTTGGGACTCATGCTGCAGGGGGCACGTCTCCCTGCACCCATGTGGCCCACAGCCGTGTGGGACCTACACAGTGGACTAACAGATTTTAATTGGTCTGAATGCTGAACTGGACCTGGCTGCAACATGGAACAGAAACTGTGGACACTGGCCTTGCTTTTGGCTTTCTGAACTCCCAGCCAAACGTTTTTCAGGACTGGGTTGCATATCTCAGAAAACATTCTGAATTATTCTTCCTTTTCCTTCTCAATGTTAGTAAATAACTTGTTAGTGTCCCTGAAACACACCGTCTTCAAGTCACCCCATCCTATAAATTATTGCTAGAATTTATTTTTTTTAACTCTCTCTGTCTTCATAAGAGTCTCCTTTAGTCTCAAACCTTCAAGAGTTCCCTATTGTCTATGGAAATGGTTTTCAAAAGATTTTTTTTTTTTCAAATTACTAGACAATATTTTTTAAATAAAATCTTACATGAGACCCAAATAAATAAAACTATAGATGTAGAGTTTTGACTGAAAATAATCCAAGCCTCTACTTGGGCTTTACCTACACATTGTCCCCTAGGCCCTTCTGTGGAATTTGGGGACAATTTAGAATACAATTTGAAACCCATCGATGTGAGTACAAAATCTTTATTTAGGAATGGGCTTTGTTACATTGAACCAAACTGTTTTACTACCTCCAATTGTTACATGTAAATTCCATCTTTGTGTCTTGACTTCTATCATGTTTAGTACCCAGAATGCTCTTCAACCACCATTCTGCTTTTTGAAGTCTTTGCATGCAGTTCAGTCACTACATCTACATGCGGACATATGAATGACTATTAGGAAATTAAAGAGCTGAGTATCTTTCTCCTGATGGATGTGCATCTTGAAGGGGTAGTGTTTTCTTTTCTTTGAAATTACTTCTATACTACATTTAATGATTAGGTAAACAGATGTAACTATTTTATGCTTATCATATTTCAGAGCCCTGAACTGAATGGTTTTAAGCGTTAAAAAGAATGATCCAAGATTACTTGATGATAAGTTTATACACTAAGAGAACAAATCTAAGAATAATATCCATGTCACCAAAATTTTTACATTTGTTTTCTCTTAGGGCCTGCAACGTACAGTCCTGTGTTACAGAAATCTTGTCCATACCCTTATTTGTTAAAGCATCAAAGCATTGAGGTTTGTTGATGATATTTCTTTTTTATGCATAACATTAGAATAGTTTCCAGAAAGTACTTAAAATGTTTACATTAAAGCCTTTTCATATATTTTATTCATGTTAGTCACTAATCAAAATATTTTCACTAAGGAAGACTTTTTAAAAGACATATTCTGATATTTTTTAAAGAATTATTTAAGAAGTTAAAAAAATTTAACAATTTATAAGTATCTTCTACAGCAGTTATATATATATGTGTGTGTGTGTGTGTGTGTATATTTACATCCTTGCAACTTTATGTATTTTCTTGTTTATATACACAAATTGAAATTTCCAAGTGTTTATTGAAATCATGACTTTATTAGAAGGCTCAGAAGAAAGCCCTGTGTGTTCAGTAAAATCAAAGATTGATCTTTTATTTCTTTGAATAAATGTAGATGCTGTAGTTTATATTTATAATAAATAAAAGTCTCTTTTAGGCTGTAGGCCTTCTTATTATAAGGAAGTGTTTTAAATAAACCTCCAGGGTTTTAGAAATTGTGTTCACAATAGGCCTTAATTCTCGATTTAGGATGAAAGAACTTCCCATTCCCACCCTACCAACCATTGAGAGTGAAATATTTTATAGTGGCTGATAGCAATTAATTTGAGTTAATACTCAGTGCAAACCACAATGAATGTTCTTTTTGGGGGTAGTTAATGACACGTTTATTTTTATTGAATGTATATGTGTTTCTACTTACTGAAAATGTTAAAATCTAAATAATATTTTAGCATTGTCAAAAGCAGATTAATAATATAGTATCAGAAAAAAAGAAAAGAAAATGAATAATGAAAGAGTTGCTATTTTACTTGTTGGCTGTTGATTCCCTCCAAAACCACTGCTAATGCTACTAAGAAAAGCTAATTTTATTAGACTTAGTTCAGAAAGAAAGAATCTGCTAGGCAGTCTTAGTAGTGTTTCAGAAGGTAGAAGGCAAGGGAGGATATTTATAATGTTTTAGGACTTGGACTGTGTGTTGTAAGGTTAAGGCTTGAAAATGGGGAACTGGTTGGGATTTGGCAAAGTTTATGACATGTCTACGTTGGATTTCTGGGTATAGTAAGGAAGGGCCTTGAAGCAAGTATTGAACAGTAAGCTATTAGTCTTCATAAGTTAGGTCCTATAGCTTTTTATAGTCTGATCATATTAAATCTTTAGCTGAGTGCTCCCCCCTTCTTTTCTTTTAAAACTAATTTTAGTGGTGTCCACACAAATAAGTGCCAGTAAATCTAACGTTACCCCTTTCATTGTGATACATTTGTTGTAGAAGATGTACCCACTAGTCTTTCTAGTATTTAAAGATGTTCTTTTTTCCCCATAAGGATTTAAAAATTATACTTATACTTCCTCATAGTCATTTATTGTGGAAAGTTTTTTTTCCATGTCAATAGAAAACATTTATGGATTTAATAATGATGGTATTTATTAAGGTATTGCCTGAAATTTCAAACTAATATATCCTCTGTATAATGCACTGCAAGATATCTTTTCTGTTGAGAACTAAGTGTAACTTTCTTGGTCTTCCCAATACGATTTGTTTTCTTTAGTAATTGATAACTTTTTTGAACAAATAATTTTTGTTTATAATTTTTCTTTTTTAAAGCAAAAGTACTTCTAACCTGATAGGCTTATAAATTACTATGTCCCTTTATTATAACTTGCTCTTATTTTTTAATTTGATACTTTCTTTATCAAGTTAATAAGATTAAGTTGGTGAATCTTAAGAACATGTTTGCTTTAAACATTTTACTTTTTTTTTTTTTTTTTAAACTGGGAAAGGTGACTAGAAATTTGTAACATTGTTTTAAGACTGAAGTATTGTTTTCTATTTGCAAAGTACTTAAATGGTTATGACCTCTGTCCTCAAGATGGTTATAGGTTCTTTAGTGTTTCATGTTGGATTCCAAATTATCCAGTGCTGGTGGTCTTTACAGTTATAATGACTCTAGCTCTTTTAAGTTACACACCCACACTTGTGAAGTCTACTCACCATTTGCATTCTTTTATGAACTCTTGAGTTTCATAAATAGTATTAGTTTTCTTCTTTTTTAAATCAGTGTTGTCATTGGAACATAATTTTACTTTGCCCATTATATTTTATATTACATTATATATTATAAGCTAATCTGTTTGCCTTTTTTGCCTCTTCTAGTTGTTGATATTTATTGGTTGAGTATCATGAACCCTTTTAAATATCTAATAAAAGGTAGGGGCCCTTTAATTTGTGGGAAAATGCATGTATGCTTATAACAAAAACTGTGCATATAATTTTAGATGGTTTATTAGTCCACAAAAGCTCACTTATGGTTCTAGTTAAGAACTCTAGATAGTGAATTCTGAGCTGCATGAGGGCAAGGACTCATTTAATTTTACACAATTACGGTTTCAACCACAGAATCTAGCATATAGTAGTATATCAATGTTTATTGTAGACATTAACAAAATGAATATTTCTAGGATTTCCAACATCAACATAGGATTACATCACTAATCTTTATCTAGAAATAAAGATTTACTCATGGACCTAGTTCTCAGTGAGAAGAATATGTATATGTTCTTTTAAAAGACCCATGGGCTTTATTGACTGAAACACATTCTCTTGTTGAGTAAGCCTCTGACCAAAAGCATGCATTTTTAAGCATTAGATAAGCCTCCACATATTTTTAGAATTTAAAATGGATGATTATTATAATGTTTAAGTTAGGTAAAGAAAACTTGAATAAATATAACTTTAAAAAATTCTTTATTTAAATATTACAGAAAAATTTAAATACACTTCTCTTTAATAAAGCAAATTCTATTTAAATTGAAATTTTATAATACAAGCTTATATTTTAATATATTTTTATACTTTATTGAGATATAATTTATATGTAACATTGTATAAGTTTAAGGCGTACAACATGATGGTTTTCGGCACATATAAATTGTGGAATGCTTTCCTGTGGGGTGAAAGCTGATGAGATCTGCAGAGGGAGAATGGGTGGCTGTGATGGACATTGGCTTCATCAGTGGTGAAGTTTGCTGAGGTTGTCTGCAGGGCAGGTCTTTGTGAACTGCAGTTGCTCCTGCTGCATGTCTCCTGATAATAGCCTCTGATTTTCTTCCTTGTTTTTAGCCAGCTCTATACATTGCAGCTTTGCCAGCCTGGGTGGGGTAAAAACCAAACTTTCCGGGGTGCTCTGAGAGGCTGGAGAAGGTGGTCTCTCACTCCACTCTTCCTTTTCTGGCAAGCGGAACTCTTTCTAGCTGGAAAGTTCCTTCTTGGCACCGAACAATGCCACTTGGGGGATAGGATTATGCAGGCAGAATTACTGTCTTTTGTCTCTTCTTGTGGAATTATCCTCAGTTTTTTTGTTCCACTGTGTTGCTAAAGCTTCCTAAGGCGACTCTAGAGGTCTCCTAGAGCTGTTTTTGTTCATGGATCACTGTCAAATCACTGGTGTTTGTCGGGGGGACAGGGAAGCTGGTTTCTCCCACTTTACTATTTTTTTCTCTCCAAAATATCAGCAGTTTTTTTCTTTCAGCACTTCAAATATATTATTCCACTCCCTTCTGGCCTTCTGGCCTTCAAGGTTTCTGATGAAAAATCCACTGATAGTTTTATAAGGTTCCCTTGTACATGACAAGTCACTTTTCTCTTGCTGCTTTCAGAATTCTCTTTTTGTGTCTGACTTTTGACAATTTGATTATAACGTGTCTTGGTGAGTATTTTTTAAATTCATCTTTTTGAGGATCTTTTGGCCTTCCTGAATCTGATTTCCATTTCCTTCTCCAGATTTGGGGCATTTTTGGACATTAATTTTTTGAATAACCTCTCTGCTCCTCTCTCTCTCTCTTCTTCTGGAACTCCCATAATGCCTGTTTGGTTCAGTTGAAAGTGTCTCATAAGTCTCATTAGCTTTCTTCACTCTTTTTAAAAATTCTTTTTCTTTTTCTGCTCCTCTGACTAAATAATTTCCAACGACCAAGCTTTGAGTTTATATTCCTGCCTTCTGCTTGATCTAGTCTAATATTGAGATGCTCTAGTGAATTTTTTGGTTCAATTGTTAAATTCTTTAGCTGACTGATTTCTGTTTGGTTCTTTTTATATATTTTTTAACTCTTTGCTGAAATTCTCTCTTTGTTCATTTATTATTCACCTGACATTGGTAAATGTAAACATCTTTATAATGATTATTTTGAGTACTTTGCTATGCAGATTGTATATCTTCACTTCTTTAGGGCCGGTTTCTGGAGATTTATTTATTTATTTGCTTGGAACATATTTCTTTATTTCTTCATTTTCCTTGACTTTCTGAGTGGGTGTCTGCACATTAAACAAACAGCCACTTCTCCAGGCCTTCACAACTGGCCTTGTACAGGAGAAGGCCCTCACCAGTTCTGGAGACTTCTCTCAAACCTTAGTGCTACTTCAACCCACTTTTTTTTGTTCTTAGAGCATCCAGGCATCTAGAGTATGCTGGATCCTATCAGTGATCAAAAAAAGCGAGACAGATGCCCATAACTTGGGCGGCCCCCAGAGAAGTTTAATCAGTAGAAGCTTTGTTTACTTCTTTCCCTCCTCAGGGGCAAGTTGGGGTCTGAGGTTTTTAGCCAGTTCACTCTGCACTAAGCTGGGTTCAAGGGCTCTGGCAATTGCTCCTGTGCATCTTTTTTCTCTCTAGCTCCCATTCAGCTAGAGTATGCCAGGTCTCATCAGTACTCCAAAGCAGGCAGGACAGAAGCCATTTTTTGGGTTACCTTCCCGAAAAGTCAGAGCATTAGATGTAGTACCTCTCACCCCTTTCTCAGAGAGAAGGTGGGAGCTAGGATCCATTACCTGCTCATTTTGCACTGAGTTAGGGGAGGAGCTGTGGCATATTAGTCTAACACCTTAGTTCTGACACATAGTCCCCATGGGACTAGCTTATGAAAGGACCCTTTGGGCTCTCTGAGACAGGCGAGAGGGAAGCCAATCTCTCTGGTAGCACACAG